GAATGACTTGCACTTCGACCGCAGTCTTCCCCGCGCGTGCCAATTTTGAATTTGGGGGAGAGGGGGGGTGTCGACTAATTGTTTCCCCCTACCGTAGCTCGAACGCCACTGCGGGTCCAGCCAACTCCAGCAGCCCCTCGAGCACATGGCTGCTCGAGCGCCACAGCGACCCCGCCAACTCGACGGCTCCCATTCGGCACCTGGGGCTCGGGAGGAGAATCCTTCGGCCTGCGCAAGCGGAAGGGCCCAGAGGCTCCGAGGAAGGTTTCTCACGAAGCCTCCTGCCTTCAAAGAAGGCCCCGCGCGCACTTCCAAGGCCGTCAATCCGAGGTCCCCAAACGTCGCGATTGTTGTGCAGCGTCGGCCCCCGGAGGTGTTGGTACCCCTTCCCCGGGACCGGTGCTTCATGCCATTTCATTGTTCGACGGTCTTGGCGTCCAGCGAACGTTGGCAACAACGTGTTTGGCGACATCCCACCCTTGAGATCCGATGTCGGAGCCAAGAAAAAATGCGTTGCGGCCAGGGTCGCCGACCCGAATTTTCTGCGGCATCTCGCGAGTCGATCTGCGAGGGCCCGAGGCCCGGATTGGGCGGAAACATCCGGTGTTGAAGAAACATTGCGGCGCGAACCCCCTCATGCATGTGGCCCATATTCGTGAGCGACGTTGCTACTCAACTGCGACAATGCTCAGTTTTGCTTTGGCTGGCGCGCTTGAGGAGGAGGGCCCAGGGAAAGGAGACGGGGGACGGGACGACGGAGACGACGAGAAGACGAAGGAGACGGAGATGACGACGGAGACGACGAGGAGACGACGGAGACGCCACGACGACGACGACGACGACGTCGACCAACAGAAGAGCGTTTTCCACACGCCGGCAGCGTTGGCGGATACTCGTGAGCGATGTTTGTATGAATGCGCCTCTCATTCCTTGCAGCAAAAACAGATGCCGCCCTCGCGTCGCTACATTAACTCGACTTCTCTGCTTCTGTACCCTTCTTGCAGGTGGCGCAGATACTGGCACTTTTAGGCACAGACATCCGACGGTGTGATTTATTCCAGTGCGCGGCCTCAGAGGTCCCGACCCCTTTCTGGGGGGTAGTTCTTCGTTCCAGAACATTTCTTGTTGTCCTGGAGCCCAGTGACGGGCCCCAGAAATCAAAATCGGAGAAGGCGCCAGCCCCAGAAGCCAGAATCGAGGAATGGCTCGCCAGGCGAAAAACCCAACCATATGCAGTTGTGAGTAGCGTAGTTGTGAGTATCGTCTTCGGTGGAGCTCCCTCTGGGGCCACGAAACGTGTAAGGGATGTGCCAGAGTAGAGGTGGTGGGCGCATGCGAGTGCAGCCACTGGGGCCTTCGGCGGAGCTCCCTATGGGACCACGAAGCGTGAGGGTTATGCGGAAATGGGTGGGGCGGACGCATGCGAACACCGCCACCGGGGCCTTCGGTGGAGCTCTGTGTACCGAAACGGGCAGGGCGGACGCATGCGAATGCAGCCTCTGGGGCTTTCGGTGGCGCTCCCTATGGGGCCAGGAGCGCGTGAGTGGTAAGTCGAAGTGGGTGGGTTGGACGCATGCGAACACCGCCTCTGGGGCCTTCAGTGGAGCTCCCTTTGGGGCCACGAAACGTGTGAGAGATGTGCCGACATGGTTCTGTGGGCGCATGCGAACACCGACAATGGGACCTTTGGTGGAGTTGCCCATGGGGCGACACAACGTGTGAGGGATGTGCCGATTTGGGAGCGGTGGGCGCATGCGAACGCAACCATTGGGCCTTCGGCGGGGCTGCTTGTGAGGCCACGAAACGTGTGAGGGGTGTGCCGACCTGGGTGCGGTGGGCGCATGCGAACGCAGCTTCTGCGGTTTTCTGTGAAATTCCTTCTGGGGCCACGAAACGTCATGCAAACGCAGACATTGGGGCCTTCGGCGGAGCTGCATGTGAGGCCACGAAAACATGTGAGGGGTGTGCCGACATGGGTGCTGTCAGTGGGGCCTTCAGTGGAGCTTTCTACGTGACCACGAAACGTGTGAGGGGTGTGCCGGAATGGGTGCGGTGGGCGCATGCAAACGTAGCCATTGGGCCTTCGGCGGAGCTACCTATGGTGCCACGAAACGAGTGATTGGTGTGCCGAAATGGTTGGTTGGTCCTGAGTGCAGAGGCAGGGATGGGAGGAGGGGAGAGGGGAAGGAGGAGGAGGAGGAGGAGGAGGAGGAGGAGGAGAGGAGAAGGAACGCGGGGCGCTGTCTCGTCAAAACGAGGACCCAACACCACAGGACGGTTGGGGAAAACGGTATGTGATAAACACATCGTTGGATCGGGGAGACGAGAAATTCGATGTTGCCAGAACTCAAGGTTGCCAACGTTTTCTTTCGGTCCCCGCTTGAAATTTGACGGAGCAGTCTCATGAGACGAATGCAGCGGGAGGTCGCGTCAAATCTCAGGTTAGTTCTCGTCGTTTTGCTGGCGGCCCTGCCAGGCCAATTCGAGTCCCTCGAACTCGCATCTTACGTCTCCCCGCCGCCAAGCCGAAAAGCAAATCGTCGGATATCGGGAAGACGCAGGTGGGAGGCAGGAGGCGGGAGGAAGGAGGCAGGTGACACGCGAGCAGCGTGTTTCCATTCGACTCGGGAACCCAACGAAGGAGGACTGGTACAGCAAATGTCGATCAGCGGCAAGCTGGGTCCAGCAGGCGGTCGGTGGACGGCGGGGCGCGACGGCAGCGAACCGCGGAGGTCGGGAACGAAGGGCCTGGTGGGGGAGGGCCGCGGAGCCGCCGGAGCGCCTTCGGAGCGCGAAGCACTTCGGTATGTGCCAGAGACAGGCTCCCCAGACCCCCTTATTCTCGGCCTCTGGGGGGTCCTCAGCGAGCCCCTCGACCGTGGAAAAACAACTCAGGACGAAAAACCGGTCCCGGGGAATGGGTCGAGGGGTCGACGTAATCAAAAAGTCCTGACGTCGGGGGTCTGGCTCAGGTGCTCGCCGGATCACTGGGAGAGGAAGACATCGTCGGGAGATTTGGGATCTCAGGCTCCTCCGACCCCCGACGTCACGATTTTTCCACGGCATCGACGCCCAGAGGTCTCGACCCATTCCCTGGCTCTGGCTTGTTGTCCTGAGTCGTTCTTCACGGTCGCGGAGTCCTGAAAAGGTAATTCTTTACGCTTCGCGTATCCCCACCAGCCCATCTCTCAACAGCAACTCTTGCGAAGCATGCCGACAGTCGTGTTTTTCAGGCGTGTTTCCGCCTGCCCCCGCATATCTCCCCTGTTACTCCTTCCTCCCGCCTCCTTGTACATCCTCCTTGTGGGGGGAGCGGGAGAAGGACGAGGCGGAGGAGGAGGGAGAGAAAGCGCTCCTCGTGGTTTGAGTCGTTTGGGGTTTCTCGTCCTGGTGTGAGTCGTTCGGGCCCTTCTTCCTGGTGTGAGTCGTTCGGGCTCTTCGTGGTGTGAGTCGTTCGGGCTCTTCGTCCTGGTGTGAGTCGTTCGGGCTTCTCATGGTGTGAGTTGTTCGGGCCCCTCGTCCTGGTGTGAGTCGTTCGGGTCCCTCCTCCTGGTATGACTCGTTCGGGCTCCTCGCGGTGTGAGTCGTTCGGGGCCCTCGTCGTGGTGTGAGTCGTTCGGGCTCCTCGTGGTGGCTTGTATGAGCGCTGCCCCTCCTCCTGGTGTGAGTCGTTCGGGCTCCTCGTGGTGTGAGTCGTTCGAGGCCCGCGTCGTGGTGTGAGTCGTTCGGGCTCCTCGTGGTGTGAGTCGTTCGGGCGCCTCGTCCTGGTGTAAGTCGTTCGGGAACCTCCTTGTGGTGTGAGTCGTTCGGGCTCTTCGTGGTGTGAGTCGTTCGGGCCCCTCGCCCTGGTGTGAGTCGTTCGGGCTCCTCGTGGGGCCTCTTGGGGGCCTCTTGGAGCCTCTTGGGGCCTCTTGGGGGCCTCTTGGGGGCCTCTTGGGGGCCTCTTGGGGGCCTCTTGGGGGCCTCTTGGGGCCTCTTGGGGGCCTCTTGGGGGCTTCTTGGGGCCTCAGGGGGCCTCTTGCGGGCCTCTTGGGGCCTCTTGGGGGCCTCTTGGGGCCTCTTGGAGGCCTCTTGGGAGCCTCCTGGGGGCCTCTTGGGGCCATCTTGGGGCCCCTTGCGACCTCCTCAGAAGCGCAAAGGAGCGCTACCCCCTGAGAAGGACAAAATGAGCCCAAAACCTTCGTAAAATCAATGATTTTGCTATGAAGGAAAATGAGCGCGGCCCCCTCAGAAGGCCAACATGGGGCCAAAACCTTAGTAAAATCAATGTTTGTTGCTTCAACGACGAGTAGAGGCACCAAACTCCCCCCCCCCCCCCGGGGCCAGAATCCTCGTGAGGGTCGTCGTTTTTTGGCCCTCCCAGGAGTCGAAAAAGGCCCCCCTTGAAACCACTCGGAACTCCCTCTCCAGGTCCAGGGGAGGGGGTAGGGGGAGGGGTAAACCCCTCCCCGAAGGGGAAGAAGGGGGGTTGAGGACAGAGAGAGCTCGCTAAACCACTCACGCCCAAAGGGCTGGTGGGATTTTCGGCGAAAATCTTCCCGTCGGGATTTTTCCCTGACTCGAAGGGGTCTGGGATGGGAGATCTGGGAAATTTCGGGTTCCCCTACAGTCAAGGCGCTGACCTAAGGACCACTTGGGGCTCAGGAGGGGCTCGGGTTTTCGAGCCGCTCCTCAGGTCGAGGTCGGGGAACCCATTCGTGGACGAGGCCCGCCGTGGCCAGGAAAGCACCTTCGTTCCTTACTTGGTGTTCCTTCTGGCAGTGCCATGCCTGCATGTGCAGGCTCGGCCACGCGCAGAGGGGGGGGAATGGGGGAGGGGGGAAGGCTTCTTAGAAGCACCCCTGCTGCTCAGAAGACGCGGGCCTTCTCTGTAGATGCAGGGCCAGCGCATTCCTAAGAAGCAGCCTCCTCCTCAGAGGCCCTCCCCCTCCCCCTGCCCACCTTCGCGCGCCGCCAACGGGCTCCTCCCGCAAGCTCCCCCCTCCGCGCCCGGGGGCGAGGAGGGCTGCCCCGTGACCTCGTGCGCCACTGGCCGGTTGCTCGCGAGGAGGGCGGCGGTGTCCGGCGCAGGCGCCGGTCGCTCCCCACCGCCACGGAGGAGGAGGAGGAGGAGGAGGAGGACTTCTGTCGGCCTGTACGTGTAAGATCGTGGAGGCGTAAGGCTCGAGTACGCCAGAACTCGGGTTTGCCGGCGCCTTTTGACGAGCGCGTCCTGGATTTTGACGGTCCAGTTTTCGTGGGATGTTTGCAGCGGGAGTTCGCGTCAAATTTCAGGCTTGGTCTCGTCATTTTCATGATGGCCCCGTCAGGCCAACCCGAGTCCCCCGAACCCGAGTGTCTCCCCGATATGAGTGACCTTTCTTTCGCCAGGGTGACATTTGGTGCGGGCTCATTTTGATCCTCCCGATCGCTGAGCGAGATGCGATAGCAGCGGCCTGCGCGCTGTTAGGTTTGGCCCTCTCGCGCCCCTCAGAGACCGCGCAACAAAGGTCACTACTCCTGCGTGTTGTCGATTATGTGGAGGTTGGTATCGAAGACGCCTACGGCGAATCACCGCCGCCCCCTGCCTTCTGAAATCGCGCATGTGGCCGAGCGTTGTGGCAAGAGCTCTACCAAGCTATCGGACCATGCGTTCCCCCAACCGTTGAGGAAACCCTTCGGGGAACATTTTGGGGGGGATGGCGGGGAAGATCAGGAGGAGAAGGATCAGGAGGAGGAAGAGGATGGGGCATCTTGGGAGCCTCTGGGGGCACTCGTGGGGCCTCCTGGGAGCTTCTTGGGAGCCTCTTGGGTCTCAGGGGCCTCCTTGGCCTCTCTGGGCCGACTTGAAGCCCTCTTGGGGTGCTCCACGCCACGCCACGCCCTCCACCAGCACGGCCGGGTTGGCCGGCAGGCCGGTAGGCGGCACCGCTATGTACAACCTGGCGGGATGGATAGGGAAGCCTTCCCCGGCCGGCCCCCCCCCGCCGCCACCCTCTGGTCGGGCCTTAGGGGAGGAGGCGGGGGGGGCAGGAGAGCAGATGCCAGGACAGGGCAGGAGGAGGAGGAGGAGGAGCAGGACGAGAGGCCCCGAAGAGGGGGAAGGGGGGAGAGGGGAGAGGGGAGACCGGCCAGAGAGTGGCAAGGGGGGGGGGCCAACCAGGGGAAGAGGGAGGAACGTCGTGTCTCGATCGTGCACTTCGCCCCGCTTCACACCCACACATGCCCGCGCATCATGCGCAAGAGACGCACTAGGCCACAGCGAAGGCACACATATAGCGGGGTTCACCTTACACGGTCCCCCACGGGGGTGACCGCAACATCGGTGAGCGCAATACAGCTTTGCCCCACTTGATGCATTTGGCATACCGACCTTTACCGGGGATTGACGAGCCAATAGGCACATTATCCAATGGGCGAGGCTGTCACAACCCTTCTTGCCACAGTGGAACAGAGCTGTGCAACTGACACCCCCCCATGCCCACATTTGATTGGCCCTGGGGCGCGGAGGCGGCGCCGCACGCTGCAGTCGAGGCGCATAGCAAGGATGCACCATTGTCCAAGGTGACATCCTTGTATCCCTGCCCCGTCGGCCCATCCTTGGCCACTTTCGCTGTCGACAAACGCCACGGCCCTCCGAGGCCCCTGCATCCTCACCACGCACCCTCACCATGCGCCCGGACCGTACATACCGGAAGAAGCGCCGTGGGGGCAACAAGAGCCGATCAAAGATCGCGAAAAGTCTGGGCCTGTACACCCCCTCTTGCTCTCACCTCTCCGACTCCAGCTCCGACTCTGTGGCACCCGTGTTCGTCTCGCCGGCTTTGGCTTCCATGTTTCGAGTAATTTGGGGATCGACGACAGACTTGATTTACTTAAACTTGACTTTCTCGTCGAGTCATACGTAGAATGTTCGTAGATCTACGAACATCTTCTGGGGCAAACCAATGATGTAGTCGATCCCCTACCCGATTTCCAGCCTCCGCTCCCAACTCCGGCTCGCACCTTCCACGACCTCGCCCCATGAGCGGCCAGCCCGCCTGCGTGTCAAAGCCGCTCCTCCTCTTCCGATACGAAGGCCTCCGCGCCGTGCCTTGATGGGCATGGGCGGGCGCCCTGGCGATCTCCTATTCGAGTTTGGGGGCAAAGCAATTCTGTAGTCGATCCCTTATACTTGAGATTTTGACGGCTCCTATACATATATAAATATATGTTTATATACGTTTATATAGACATCGATTTGCATATGTATGTGTATATATATATACTCACGACGCGAGGAGACTACAGGATGCGAGGGAGAACGTTACGGGAGGACCCCGGTTCAGGAGGAGAATATCGCCGTGGCATCGGCGACGCATCGCCGATAGGTCGGCGATAGCCCCACGATGGCGAATTTGCACGCTCCCTGGCGCAGCGCGCACGACTCCAGCGCCCACCTCGTCTCCCAGACATCCTCCGACACATGTTTTCTGTCCACCACGCGGCCCCAGCGGCCTAGGCCGCTGCCCCGGGGAGGTG